GCTGAATTTGGCTATTCTATCAGTTGGTTGACATTTTCAGATTTTGAAATTAATGAGATTTCAAAAATATTTTAAATATTTGGAAAAGTTGACAATATTCACAATTTTCCCACCCCCTGCTTTTCAACCAGCTACAGAGCTGGGTTACAATAAAAAAAATAACTCCAGTTTACAGTGATAGTAAGAATAAAATAAATGAGAATAAAAACACACAAGTTCGTGGGCCAGCACTGAGTCTTATTTAGGGAAATGCTCTGTGTACAGATTAACTCTATTCTATTTTTTTAAATTGTTGTGCCTAGTGTGCAATGGGACCTGCAGTAGTTTTGACCAGTGGATTGAAATAAGAGGAGAGAATTTAATGTAGCTTTTGTAGGCTTTATGCAAAGGCTATATTTTATAAAATTGCATAAAAACTTCCCTTTGCTAGCTATGCCTGATTAATTTAAGATATCCCCATGATGCTTATAATTGGAATATTTTTCTCATGGAAGAATGTCCCTGTTGTATAGCTTCCTCCAAAGAACCAGGCCAGGTGGAGATGGCTGAGGATGTCTATGCTTTAAGTGACTGGGCTGCATATAATTCTGTTCCAAAAGTCTGAGGCACCGTGCCATAGCTACCTACTTTGTGTTCAGCAAAGCAAAACATCTGGAGTAATAATCCTTTTTTTTTTAAAATGAATTAATGGAAAACTCATGTCTTCCCAAAGCCAGTTTCATAAAATGAGTTGGGATTATTGAACATTGATAGTATTATGTGATTACTCCTCAGCTGGCAGTGTTCTCCTAGCATTCCTTAGCAATGTTATCAGGGCATCTGATATTCCTTTCCTCCTCCCCAGCACTTGCTAATAGAGTGAGTAGCAAGTCAGACTGCAATTTGTGGCGGCTGCTGCTCAGCCATGAGTGACTGGGTAAAATGCCAACAAAAGACAGACAGCAGCACTGAGAAGCTGCAGATTTAAAGGAGTTTCCAACCTAACCCAGGAGTCCTTCAGAAATTATAAGCTTCCCATGTATGGAAGGACTGGATTTTATCATTGGAGAATGGCATCTTTTAAGATGTATTGATGAAAAGAACTATATAAAACAAGAGCTGAGTATTGTCATTATACAAATTATGGTACCAGAATTTTCTTCATAGTGGATTTCACAAAGACAATCCAAACAGAAATATTTTACATGTGAAGCACAGGAAGGAACCAAATCTGAAAGCAAGTTGAAGATTTTTAACTTGAGTGGGTTGTTACTTCAAAATCAAGCAAGGATATTGGCAAATATCCCTTTCCCCATACAAGACCTGATCACAAGATAAAGAACTGGATACAGATGCCATTATCCAACTAGTTACTAATAATCACTAGTTTAAATTCTGAGTATGTGTTTCCCAGACCTGAAGAAGAGTTCTGTGTAAGCTCAAAAGCTTGTCTCTTACCAACAGAAGTTGGTCCAATAAAAGATATTACTCACAGACCTTATTGCTCAGTTAAATTTACACAATTGAGTCAATATGTAATTATGCCATATTCTTTATATGGATTGCAATAAGAAGTGTAAAGATACTGTATAGGAATAAGAAGGTAAATGTATTGGGAATGAAATCCCAAACACATTATGTACCCATACTATGGGCAGATGCTTCATTTGTTGTATCTATCTCTAGCAGCCATGAGGCCTTCTGTCTGCTTTTGATTTTAGCCATGCTCATTTAACTTGTCACACCAATATATACTGAATTGTGAGATAGCGGAGGGAGTTTCCTCTAAACTCTACAGAAAGAATGAGCATCAGGTACTGCAGGAGTTGATAAGGCAGCTATGCTATTCTGTGAATCTTGTGGCTATTATAATGGAGCCACAATCTCCCATTAGGTATAAATGTACACAACTCCCATTGGAACCAATGGCCGGGGGGGGGACGCTGCACAGGGAATATTAATGTAACAAAGAGCTAGATTTGGTCCTCTCATACTGTGTAGATTGGTAGCAGTTTGTACACTGACAATTGAAGTTACAGTCTCTCTTCTCAAACTTCCTCCTTTAAATAACATGCTTATCTAGGGTCAGATCTTTCCATCTTTATTCAGTCCTCACTCAGGCAAGATCCCATTGACATCAATGGGAGCAGGCCTAAGTTAAGGAATTCTGAGTAGAATCCTTAGTAAGTGACCAATTAGCATGTTGTCCTGTCACAACACGGCTGTTTTGGTGTAAGTGGTGGCTGGTTGTTCAGCCCAAACATCTGAGGTTGATCTGCCACATTTAGTAATCCTCCTAGACCAGATTCCCACTCAGCTGTACAGGGGGTTCCTTTGCCTCTCTCATTCATGTTATAAATGGCTTACTCTCTGCTTTGCAGACAAACTAGATTCCAAGGCAATTCTTGGATTGTTTAAAAAGCTGTTTGACCCTTGTAAGGGACCATCTGAATTCAAAAGATCTGTTGCATGTTTTAAATCCCAAGTTAATGACCTAGCTCTAGCAAACACGTACACAATCATACAATCCCAAATTAAGTTACAGTAGCATATCTGGGGCCAAAATACACTAGTGCAACCCTGTTGACTTCACTGAATTTGCGCTTCATTGGGATTTCACAGGTGAGAAACTTGTCCCTTTTCTAAAACTTTTCTCCCTGCTAAGGCCTAGATTTATGAGAATTCACACAACTCAAAATTCACGATCAGGCAAACCTAGAAACTTTTTAATAGTGTGGGAGACCTTTGAAGATGTAAACCTATTTGTATATCTAAAGATGATGAAACCAGCAGTTTCAATAGGAAAGCTTTGCTGTCTGAAATGTACGTTTGTATTAGTATAAGTGGTCTGTAAGAATGAGCTATTAACATACACATGCTTAATCCTCCACTTACCTGAGTGAGAGAACACTGAGTAGACAGACAGCCATTCATTGCCCAATTTGTGGTAGCACTGGTCATGATTCCACAGTTAAGGTGGAGTCCAAAGTTCAGTTTAACAGATGCATTAAATGAATTGGTACAGAAAAAATAAGTTCAAAAACCTCAAGCCTGTTTTCACTGGATTGTCACACTTTTTCTTTGTACTCCTACTGGAAGAAATCTGGGACCTGTCTTTTGTCCATATTGTTGCTTCTCACATGCCAATTGGTAGTGTTTGTCTGCGGAGCCTCTTATAGCTTTTTAGCCATAACTGTGAACATGGCACCAAGCTGGATCCATATCTGGGGTAGTGCAAACACATCACAAGAGAGAAACATGGCTAAGGCCACTGTCAAGGTATAACATCTTAGATGCATGGACTGTGTGACAGATGTACTGATCTGTTGACATGTGATATAAAACCGTACAAGGGCACTGTTAAGGCTTTGCATTACTGATCAGGTTTGAAGCTGAGATACATTATTGTTTTCGGGTATCTGTTGGACCAAGTGAAAGCTTCAAGGAGCATTGGAGTCTGTAATCGACAGTGTTGTAGGCAGTATGTGAAAGTGGAAAGGAATGTACAAGTCTCTTCCCTTGATTTATTCCCATGTTTCCAAGTGTCCACCCACAGTCTTAAATTGTCAGCTTTTGTTTGCTAAGCTGTACCTGATATTCCACATGGAAGTGAAGGACTTGTATGGGGCAGGGACTATATCTTCCTTTGTGTATGGACAAAAGTCTAGCATATTTCAGACACTCCTAGAATCCAAATACATACCCCTTTTTTTAAGGGTGCGGGGATAGAAAAATGAAGTATCAAATGACTAGCCCTGCTATCACACACAACTCAATACTTAAAGGAAGGGAGACCCTAGCCTAGAAAGCAGTGACCCAAAAAGATTTGGAGGTCTTGATGGATAACCAGCTGAACATGAGCTCCCAGTGTAGTGTTGCAGACACAAGGCCTAATGTAATCCTTGCATGCATAAACGGGGGAATCTAGAGTCTAAATAAAGATTATTTACCTCTTGTTTGACACTGGTGCAACCACTGCTGGAATACTGTGTCCAGTTCTGGTGTCAACAGTTCAAGAAGGATGTTGATAACCGAGAGAATGATTATAGGATTAGAAAACATGCCTTACAGTGATGGGCCCATTTAGCATAAGAAAGAGAATGTTAAGGGTGCTTTGATTACAGTCTATGTATCTACATGGGGAACAAATATTTAATAATGGCATCTTCAATCTAGGAGAGAAAGGTATAACATGATCCAATGACTGGAAGCAGAGGCTAAACAAATTCAGAGTGGAAATAAGGTGTAAATTTTTAACCATGAGTAATTAACCATTGGAACAATTAAGGGTTGTGGTGAATTCTCTCTAGATCAAGATCAGGTTTTTTCTAAAAGACATGGTCCAAGAATATATTTTACAGACATTCTATAGCTTGTGTTATACAGGAGGTCAGACTAAATGATCAGTGGTCCCTTCTGGCCTTGGAATCTATGAATCTAGGCTGTAAGTCAGACCTGAGATCTCTTCCTGGCTCTGTCCCTGACCTGCTGTGACACCGTGCGCAAGTCATCTGAAGTCTGCCCTTCCGTTACCTCACTGGTAACACAGAGACCATATTTAATCTCCTTTGCAAAGTGTCATCAGCTCTATGGATGAAAAGAGCTACATGAGCATATAATTTGATCAATGGGGAGTGATCACCTGCATAAAAACCGTAGCTGTTCCAGGGACTAATCACTGAAGGCTTGCTCTGTCTTCTTCTCATCATCACACAGTAGAAGGAAATAAAACCAAAGGAGCCAATAAACAGAATGATATTTTTTTTATAAAAGAGAGAGAGAGAATATTGAGTGAGGTCAGGATACCTTTCCTTTCAGAGACCTGAAATTTGGATGGCTGATAAATACAGTTTCTATATAGCAAACTGTATGAAATATTTATATTGTATACATATTTTTAAAATAATCAAGCCTAACCAATAACATTTAGCATTCCCGTACAGTTTGCCTTAAACTTGTTCCATCCTTTAGCAACCTTGAAGTGTAACATTTATATAATGTAATTATAAACCAAGATACAATTAAAATATTCAAATCAATTTTATTGCCTCAAAGATAGATTTTAACAAATGGGGAAAATTCCAATCTCTACAGGTAGGAAGTGAGGTGGGAGACCGTATTTACTTTGAAATGGTAAAGCTGTCATTGAACAAGAGGAGAAACATAAATAATTACTATAAAACTGAATTTTTTCTCCTTCCAAAGATTAGTGGTAATTGAAAAGAAAAACTAGATGTATTTCCTTCCTCTCACTCCAACCCACAATACCAGGCCAGTTGTGTTGTTTGTGTTTTTTTTAAAATGAGTTCTTGCCAGCATGATTTTGGAAAACTGATACAATAAAAATTAATATTTTGAGAGTCCAAGGAATGCAGGATTGGTTCTTCAAAAATGTATATTTTCCTTGCTACGCTGAACTTTTGTACAAGGAAACTACTCATTACAAAAACTCTTTAATTGCTGACATTAATTATTTTTTTCTTAGTGCCATTTGTCAATGAGATCTTACAAAAACTAAACCAAACATTAATTTTTTTTCTCCAGAGTGATATCTGTGGAACTTGATATATATATCTGAATATAAAACATTTCAAGGCAAAGTATTTATAGAACTTAAAATACACAATCCTTTTAAAACATTACAGAATTCATAATTTGTCAAATTTAATACCAAGTTTTTACTTTTAAAAAATTGTTCTCAAAATAAATCCACAATCTCTTAGTGCACTTAAAGAGAAAAGATCAAAAGCATTAACTGCTCTCTTTCCTTCCAGTGTTAATTAGAATCTTAGAAGCATTTCTATCTATTATGAAATCATTTGGGGGTTTTTATATGCTTATAGGGAAACCCTGCAACACAAGTCATGAAAGCAGGCAGTTTCCAAGCTGGTTAGTTTTCATCACAGTTAAATTAAGAGTATGAACCTTACCATTTTCTTTTGTACTAATTTCCATCCTGGCGATTTTTTTTTTTTTAAGTCATATGGAATACATATAGCTGCCTCCTGCTTAATTCCATTGAATATAATATCCTCTTTTACCATTGTGTAGGTATGTCTGGCACCTTCACAAGTGTTGAATCCATTGCTTGTAATACTCAGAAGTTGATGGCCCATTTTATAGGACTGATTTGGGAGTCCTAAAAGAAGCTGCTAACTTTCTATGATTTGCAGAAGAAAACAGGGTCATTGTTTTAAATCAGGTAGATGAATTTAAAGTCCCTTTATGGATTTCAAGAGTTTTTCCATTTCTAATTTACTAATATCCTTCATTATCAGTGCCATCTTCAGAATCTCATTATTCCAACTCAATGTCTCCTGCATATATGGTAATCAGCAATATAGCAGCAAATCCTGTTAGTAAACCAGCATTCTGAATGAGGAAGAAGGTTAAATCTGTTCTCCTTCCAGTCACTTTCTCTCTCAGCATGTCACTCATCTCTGGGAACTAGAAGAGAGGGGTTTATTTTTTAGGTAACAGTTGCCATCTTGTGGTAGAATATGTAATTTAGCATCTTGATAGTGATTTTTATTTTGTACTTTATAGCTGTGTTTGGATCTTAACCCTAATAGAAAGGAGAGTTAGTGGTAGGGACAGGTCAAAGGGCCCATTTCACCAATGATGGGAAAACTGAAATAGTGGTCTCTCCTGTGCTGTAATCTAGAGATGTCATCCAGATCTGAACCACTTCCTTCATATGACATCAGGAATCTATGGGGGTCCATCTACTAGGCCAGCTGCTGCTATCTTGTTAATACAAGCAGCTGCTGCTATCTTGCCAAGTTACACAATCATAATAAAAAAGATGTTATGGTCTGTCATTTCAAACACTGCTGCAGTCAGGAACTTCTCTAGGGTCTTTTAGGGAATGCAAAATAAGGATTCTGGGGGCACATCTACAAACTACCACCGTGGAACTGAAAATGCATACATCCTTTCAGAACTGGAACACCTAAGTGAGCTCTTAGGGGTGTTGATGAGCTGGTGGGAATCAGGACAGAAAGAACAATGACTCTGCGGTGAGATTTATCCTTTCACCTAAGGTACCAATGCACGAAAGGGACAGGCTGTAATAAAGGAAGATTGATGTATTTTTAATCAGTTTCATGTAGCAATAAGAAAGTATGATAATTAACGAACTGGACCAGAAGACTGAAGCAACATACTATAGAATTAGTTGAGTTTGCTAGCAGTCAGTGACGACTCTGTCATTAAAGGTGACAGGAGACCTTAACACTCATGTCAACACTCCCTTTCACCTACAACCTAGAACTCCTCACATGCATGTTATCAACTATAGGCTGCTCTCAGGTTCTACCCACCTGTGGCCACACATGGAACCGTATATTCAATCTGGATATGTATAAAGCCAACACAAAAATTATATTGCTACTATGGATGGACCACCATCTGTTGCTAGTGGTTATCAGAACACTTCCTCTTGCATAACAAGGACAAGCTTTCTTAGTAAGTTTCCACTGCGCTCTTACACAGCCAGAGTGTCAAGACACTGATGACCAAATAAGATGCTATAATCACATAAATATCCACTGCTAGCGACATTAGCTTCTAATCAGTACCTCCCTTCCTACATATGCACACTGCCTCCACTGATCTCCCAGGTTCTCAGGCCAACGAATACAGGAACTGTTGAAGGAATGAGACCAAGCAGCCACTAGCTAAAAACATGAGCTAAAGATGAAAGTCTCTGGGACAAGAAATTCCTTCAGACTTGCTCCAGTGTCCTATAGACACAGCCACTTTCTCATCAGCCATAGTTAATACAAAGTCTATGGTCCAGCTGAGCTAGAGTGTACACTGTTTGTTTGTTTAAACCTGTAGTGTATTCCAGAGCCCCCAACCTCCTCCACAAACTGCTGAAGAATGATCTGCCTTCTCTGACCAAGTTGCACTTGTGTGTGGAAGCAAACAAACAAGCATGGAATAGATAATGCCATGCCTCCCTTAAGGACCATTCAAACAGCAGGAGATCCTGGACATAGTTCCTTCCCTATGAGCCACTCCCTATTATTCTTAACCATATTTCACAGAAGTGAACATTTAGGCTCTCTAACAACACAGGCTATTAACTCTTTCTTTGAAAAGCAGGCTACTACCTACCTTGAAAAATGTTGTAGGTCTAGAACAGGGGTGGCTAACCTGTGGCTCCGGAGCCACATGCAGCTCTTCAGAAGTTAATATGCAGCTCCAAGGCTGGAGCTACAGGCGCCAACTTTCCAATGTGCTGTGGAGTGCTCACTGCTCAACCCCTGGCTCTGCCCCCACTCCAGCCCTCCCCAAGACTGCAGTACCCTCGCTCCTTCCCCACAGAGCCTCCTGCACGCCATGAAAGAGCGAGGGGGAGGCGCTGATCAGTGGGGCTGCTGATGGGTGGGAGGAGAAGCTGATGTGGGGCTGCTGACGTATTACTGTGGCTCTTGGGCAATGTGCATTGGTAAATTCTGGCTCCTTCTCAGGCTCAGGTTGGCCACCCCTGTTCTAGAACCACTCCTAACTGCACAGACCTGGTAAACTACAGGCAAATAATCTCTAACTTCCCTTTCCTTGGGATGGATTATTTATAAAATGATTAAAGGCAGCCTCATATCGCCTAACAAGAGCCAATTTCCCAATCAGGCTTCAGCTGAGGGTATGACATGGAAATCATACTGGCTGTCCTGATGACTGTCTCCTGGCCCCTGCCAGTCAAACATTTTTTTTCCCCCTCTCTCTGCAGCAATTGAAACCTACATTATGAGATACTGCAGGACTGACTTAGAGAGCTAGCAGGAGTTAGTGACAGTACCCCCAGATGTTTTCATCCTTCCTAACAGACCACACCCAGAGGACAGCAATGGTTAACGGCACTTCTGCAACCAAGGGCCTAGTCTCTAAAGTTCCACCACGCTCCTTTCAACCTATGGAACGTCTACGTTAAACCCCTATGGGAAGCTTATCAGATGCTATTGCTTTAAATGCCAGGAGTATGTGGATGACACTCGGCTATTTATCTCTTTCACCTCCCCTGTAAACTATACTACCTCCAGCTATCCTGCACCTGAACAACACCAGATCAGAGCTGGCTGAAGCTGAACCCAGGGGGAAAAAACCCAGGACTAATGCTAATGGGGTACAGAGAGAAACTTCTCAGAACTAGACAATACCATCAATACAGGGTACCTACCCAACCATGGACAAAAGTATGTAACCTAGAACTCCTCGTGGAATTGATACAAGACACCAAAATAACTGAGAAGCTTATTTCAACCTGCAACATGCCAGGAGACAATACCCCATCCTGTTTGTCCAGATGACCTTCTATCCTGTCAGACACAAACCTCTAAACACAATGATCCATTAATTTGTGACAGCCAGGGTCACGTATTGTAACCTGTGTAGTCGGAAATAAATCCAAAACCACTCAACTTCAATGGTGCAGAATGCAGTTCACTTGCTGACAAAGACAGCCCAGCAGCTGCTGCTTCTCATCGCCATCCTCAAATCATGGCACTGGCTACCGTCCACTGTTGACTCAAGTTTAAAGTTCTAGTCTTGGTTGGTTGTGTGTGTTTGTTTTCTGAAAAGCTCTCAGTGGGGTGATATTAAGCCAGCTCAAACTGCCTCTCCCTTCATGAACTCCCAAGGCAAGTGCAATCCCCTCAGACAGGTTAAGACTAGTGGGAGCAGAAGACAGTCTTCTCAGAAGTAAGCCCATCACTGTGCAAGTCCTCCCTCTCACCCCACACACACATGCACTCACTCTCGCTCTCTCACCCACACATGGCCGTCATTAACAAGCTCTGCTCTGCCTGCTCTCTGAACAGGGGAGAGAAGAACAAGAAGAGAAATGAAGTTCTAATTAATCCTACCTGCTTCTAGACAGAGGAGTGTGAAAATCAGGAGAGAAGTGGAAAATCAGACCTCTGTATAGAGCACTCGCATAATTTTTTTTTCAGATACAATTGTAATGGACAACCTAAAAACAGAAGAGCAATGGATATGGAGACAGGGTGTTCTCTATATAATGGGTTTAACAACAATTTAAGTTGAGCTACTCTAAAAGTAAAGACAATTCATAATTTTTGCATGATATTCATGTTACATGAGTACTTGCATTTATGATCTCATATCAAAGAGCATTTGGAGTGAAATTAAACCATTTCAGTTGTGAAATTGTTCTTGTAGAGGTTACTAAGGCATTGTGAGTTTGAAAGACTCTTGGTGTGCTGGTTGACTCTAAAATGGCCTCAAGTGGTACCTGTGCAATCATATCTTGTTGGGCTGTAGCTCGAGGTGGGCCAAAATTGTCACCTTGCCCTGAGGCCCTTCAAATTCTGGGAATTTAGAGGAGCTTCAGGTTTGAACTCTGGGCTGTGAACCTACATGAACAGATGTGGTTTAAAACTCCGTTCCATTTCAGGAGAATAGCTGGTCTTCCAAGATTTGAGCCTAAGACAGTAATGTTTATGAATGATAGCTAACAAGATTTCTGAATTTTGTGATTTTAAAAATCTTATCATGAGAAAAGTTCACATGACTTTGATGCTGTTGAGTCCAAATTGCAGCTGTCAGAAACAAGCCCCAGTCTAAAACTTATGTGTCCCCAGCCTTCACACCTTACTTATGAAATATATAGGCCACGGAGCCTATTATGAAGACAAAGGTTACTACATTTGTACTGAATCAGCAAGTATGAAAGGGTGGGTCTTCACTCATGGCTGATGTTTGCTTTTGTGCCATTCTTATTTTTTAGCTGTAGTAGTTACAAATAAGTGGGGTGAGGAACACTTGACTCCCAAAGCCCTAAACTGAATAAAAAGCACCTCAAAATGCAACAGGTGAGATTACTGACAAGGCTTTTTAATAACTTAAAGCATGATGCTAGAGTTGGAGCAAAAAAGTTGGAAACCTATGTTTGGAAAAGACAAGTTAATGCTGACATCAAAGATTATTGTTCCTCATAACTTTCCTACTCAACTAACAGTTCATAAATAGCATCCTACATTTTTCATTATATACATACAAACTTATACTGAAATATAAAGAATTGTTGAATCGTAAAAAAAAAAAAATAAGGGTTGTGTTAGTTTAATGTTACTAGTTTGATTATGTAGAGTGATTGAGTTTGGATAGTACCTATGTTAAGGCTTTGCCCTAGCTTTTGTCTTGCCAATCTTTCTCTTACCTAGACTTCTTTCAATAATGCTTACAGGACAAAGGTGGTGTTATGTGTTGGAGGACTTAGACTAATTAACTTCCTCTTATCTGATACTCACAACATAATGTTTAGTCCCTATATTGGAAAAACCATGAGTAAGATAACAAAGACCTGAAAATAGTATAGAGAGCAAAAGGTATGTAAATTGAAGCTTGCATGTGCATACTGTAAAAGTTACATAAGACAATGTTTTATAAGCTTAATGTTGAGTGAAGGAAGGCTAATGAATCTGTAATGTGAAAAGGTACAAGGGAACAAGACTCAAGTCTCAGAAATATCAGACCGGAGACTTGAGACAACCGTCATGAAATGCAGAAGAGTCTCCTGGTACCCTGGAACTCAGTAACTTAGGCCTCTACCTATTCCACCTTATCTGTTTTTTGTCTAGCATAAATGTGATCAAATTATAAGTGACAATAATTCTGTCTGAATATGTATAAATTTGGGTGGACTTGTGACTCAGTTTACAAAAGAATTTTTTCTCAATAGCGATTCCTGCTGGAGTAAGAGAATTTTTCTCCGTTCATATAGTGTTGCACAGTTGGCTAGGTGCACTAAGAAGGTTTTCACTTTGATATATTTGCTTTGTGCCCCAAAGCAATATCCTGACACTCCCATCTTTTTACCATGGTGACACAATTGATACGTTTTGTGCAAAGCGTGCCTTGTAAGGTATCATTCTCAAAGTCTTGATCTGTTAAACATTGACAGCACATACAATAATATCCTTTTGGATTGTATCTGAAGTTATGAATATTGACGGTGTACCAATATTTCAAATGTGTTTGCTCCTGGAGTGACACCCACAAGGCAGTTTATATCCAGACTAGTCAGCACATTGTGGACGAATCATCCAAGGTAACTGCCCATTAAGAAACACAAGAGGCCATAAAAGAAGCTTATCTTCACCTGATGGGCTCTTCTGTGGACACTTCAGCCAGTATGTGAGTAATGGCTGCTATGAGTCATTGAAGCATGCAAGGGCATGTGACTAGATCATGTGATACTGGACTCCATCTTAGGCCTGTACTTTTCCACAAACTGGGCTGGGGACTTTGCTTGGAACAAAAGTTCCCACCCCATGAAGGAAGCTATAAAAGGAGGAAGTGACATCCCTTGGCCTCACTCCCCTTACAACTGAACACCTGGAAACACCTTCGGAACAAAGACTGAACCAGGGATATGGTCCCAGGCTGAAGGGATTTCTAGCCTGTGTATGGAAGATTGGTGAACTGTTTGTACCATGAGGGTGAGACACTGCTTGATTCAAATCCTATCTAGGGTATAGAGCTTAGCCTGCAATTTTGTTTTATTTCTTGGGTAACAAACTTTGATCTGTACGCTATGACTTGAAATCCATCTTTCTGTATTTAATAAATGTTTTATATTTTTTTTACCTAAAACAGTGTGTTTGAAGTGCAAGGGAATATCTGCTCAGGAACAGGGGCTGGTGCATTGTCCTCTCCACACTGAAGGAGGGGTGGACTAGGAAATAAACATACTGGTCAGACTTTTGACCAGGGCAAAACAGTACAGCTCTGGGCTCCTAGGCTGGGGGGGGACTGGCTGAAGCCTCTCTATTGTTAGTTCATGAGTGGCTAGGAGAAGCATTCATGTAACTGCAGCTGGATATGTCTCTGCTTGTGTGGGGCTGTGTAAGTTGTAAAATGTGGAGAGAACGGCAGCTTGTCACGACCTCACAGCTTGGGTTGGGGGCAGGTTAGTGAGACCCAAGTTTCCAGTTGCACCCAACGGAAGTCTAATGAATCTGTACATCCCCTATCAGGATCAGAGGGCAGAATACCAAATTATAGTGAATGAACCATTATTCAGGTCCCCTGTGGAAATGCCTATATTCTTATGCATGCATTAAATAAATAAAATGAAATTGTATCTCACCATATCTGCCAGGGAAATGTACAGGAACATACCACCAGCTATTGCAAAGATAATGTTAGGAGCAAAGTTGCTGCCCACTAATATACCAAAAACCAGACCAATGTAGCAGGAACATGATGAAATAAAGTTGAAAAATAGAGCCTGGTAGGTGCTCATTCCTGCATTTATCAAAATGATAAAATCCCCTAGGGAAAAAAAAAAGGTGGAAGAGGACATTAAGTGATTATTTTCTGAAGGTTTGAAAGGAGATTTGTAACTTGTATGACAATTATAACCCAGCCCTCTTTCATATAAATACTGAAGAACATTTTCAGTCAGCATTAACATGACTGACAGGTGAGTTAATGTAAATATCTTACCCAGTTCATGAGGAAACTCCTCACATAAGATTGCTATGGATGTACTAAGTCCCTGAAGCAGAGAGAGGGTGAAGGAAGCACCAATAGCCAGACCATCAATGAAGTTGTGCAAGGCATCGCTCAGCGTGATCATCCAGGCAATTGTTCCAATCTCTGACAATGTGGGTCCCTTTAAACATTTACTTTGGGTTTGGGTTTTCTCTTCCTGCAGAAAGAACATAGCAATTATGTGATGCATTAAACAGCTGCAAAGAAGCCAGTGGATTTCTTTCCCTTTTTTAATGTAGAACTGCTAAAAGGTAAAAGTACTAACTGTAATGGAGACCAAAGCTTTTTGTCCTCAGAGCTGACACTGAACAGGCAGCAGCTGTACCCGCTTTCCTACATCACTGAGTTAATCTACTTTGATGCAATTGGGGAAGGATGGATCACCACTCTGACTGTGAGATAGCATCTCAATGCCCATTTAGCCCTTGGTTCATCTTCTGAGACAAACACCAAGGGTGAGAACTGGGGTAGTGGATTTTACAATTCACACACCAATCCATGAAAAGCTGGACAGAATACAAACTTGGGCTTCAAATGGGGTACTAAAAAGCAATCACTCACTTTCCACCCCAACCACTTAATTAGAAATGAAAGGGCGCTATCATATTATCAGTCCCTGTAATTCTCACTTGGGCACTCAGATACCCTGCTGATGAGCACCTCTATAAAACCCTAGATAGCCATCCAGGAGCATCATCGATTGTTTCACTTCTAAGTTTGGGCCATGCAAGTCACATCCTGGGGTTAAAATCAGTTTCTAAGGAGTGCATGTTCAATATCATTGCCAGTAAGTAATTTTCACTGTGCTGCTGAATGGTTCTAAGTTTAAAAAAAAAAACACAAACACACAGCTTAGTGTAGAGCTGCTGAGTATGAACATTTAGGACCCACTACTGTATCCCAGAGATGGAAATAGAAGTCTGGCACCATGTAGTAATGAACCCCTTCAGGCAGATAAAGCACAAAATAAATGACAGGTTTCAGAGGAACAGCCGTGTTAGTCTGTATTCACAAAAAGAAAAGGAGTACTTGTGGCACCTTAGAGACTAACCAATTTATTTGAGCATGAGCTTTCGTGAGCCACAGCTCACTTCATCAGATGTGTACCGTGGAAACTGCAGCAGACTTTATATACACACAGAGAATATGAAACAATACCTCCTCCCACCCCACTGTCCTGCTGGTAATAGCTTATCTAAAGTGATGTGGGGGGGTGGAGGGTGAGAAAACCTGGATTTGTGCTGGAAATGGCCCACCTGCTGATCACTTTAGATAAGCTATTACCAGCAGGACAGTGGGGTGGGAGGAGGTATTGTTTCATATTCTCTGTGTGTATATAAAGTCTGCTGCAGTTTCCACGGTACACATCTGATGAAGTGAGCTGTGGCTCACGAAAGCTCATGCTCAAATAAATTGGTTAGTCTCTAAGGTGCCACAAGTACTCCTTTTCTTTTCACAAAATAAATGGTCTCCTTTGAAAATGTGGTTTCCTATATGTTTGCACATACAATTACAAATGCAGTAGCACAATTACTGTAAAACCCAACAACATTTGTACATAAAAGCTCTTAGAAATCCATTAACTAGTGCTTGAAATGGAGAGTTAAATATATATTGAAGTTACAGAAACACTGCCCTTTCTCTTTAGCAAACTCTGTATATATCAATGTAATACCATATTCCTCTGATTACAAGAGAACTACAAAAATAGTTGTAGGAAGTTGTTATACTATAATTATAAATTTAAAAAAGTGTGGGGGGTTTTGCTATGTGAAAGATAGAAGCTACTGAACAATTACAATTTGATCTTAATAAATGAGCATATAAAATACTGATTGATATCTTACCCGGGTTGACATTGCTATATGTTAGCACTGACTTGGCAGCTAACAAAGAGAGCATCACTGACTCTGCAACCTTGCCAAAATAGCTTTTTTCATATTGCTCAAGTGAGTTGTGAGCGAGCAGTTTATAAAAGCGTATCTCTTCTTCCTAGATAAGCTTATACAACCGACTGAGAAACAATACATTAAATAAAAAACAATGTTCATACCTGAGCAGAGACCACACTAACTGTGTCAAAATTGGGGTTTCCATTAGGCTCTATTATGGCTGGATTTGCATAGCACATCATCCCATTATTAGATTTCAATGGCGTGGGTGGATTACCCTTATCCTGAGGAAGATTCTGTTTGTGAGTTTCAAAGTGAGTGTGGCCAGTCTAAATGGGGGGAGAAAAGAAACAAAACAAAAATACAGACTGCAAAATAGGAATGTGTCTAAACACACTGTGCAAGAAAAATCAGCTTGTCCATTTGGATGGACATACAGATGTCTATGTTTGTGCTGATTATACTGTTAGGCAGAACTTCCCAAACTAGTCAGAGGACCACTGGTGGTCCACAGAGCATTTGCTGTTCATTAATGGAAAGCTTGCTCTTCACAAGGCAGTGCTTTTTCCTTCTCAATTCCAGCTGTTAAGTTGCACTAAAGACAACTAAAAATACATTAGCAAGTACTGAACGTTCCTGTTCCATGTATGTAATCAGTATGAATTGGCACATGGACCACCTCCCTATTGTAATCTTCAACAGCAGGGAGATGGGGCTGAGGAATCTCCAAGGGGGAAGAGGAGGTACACCAGACAGCTGAGGTGCAATTTAAACTCTGAACAAGTTTGAGACGCCCTGCTCTGAGACACATGCTGCAGACTGTACATGAGCACACAAGACAACAAATACAGTATGATATGGGGACGAAACCGAGAGCCTGTGCAGAACCCACAATTCCTGTTAAGGTTTCTGCACTGGAACATGGAGGGGATGTGGGGATATTGGCAGTGAGGTTAAAGCACAGTCAGTGTAGAGTCAATAGGCCAAAACCTTCATGGGTGGGAGTGTCTGGCTGTATCCACTTATCCTCCTTACACCCTACAGTATCTGCATGAGTGGCCAAGGGAGGGCTCAGGGTAGAATGCCCTTTATGTATTTCCACCAGGCAAAATCCATTCATTCAGGCTTTGCTCACAGGATTTGGTCCTTCAGGGTGCATAGAATGTGGCCTAATGATTAGAGCAGGAGATGGGAACTCGGTTTCTGGGTTCTATTCCCAGCTCTGCTTGTAATTCTCTGTGTGAGACAGGTTAAGTTACTGAGCCTCTCTGAGCCTCAGTTTAACCAAGTATCTCAGAGGGGTGTTGTAAGACTGAGATCCTTGGAAAATAATGTAAAATCTTGTATATCATCAAACTACCAACTATCTAATAAAAATATAACAGCTGTTTCAAACTAAGGCTCAGTTTTGTAATATAAAAAAGCCTGCTAGTAATATAACTTGCTGAAATATATCAAAATACATCAGTCCAGTTCGTTACCTGGCCATAGGTCTTCAATATCATTTTAAGAATCCTTTCCACAAAGAAGAGAATATAGAATCCACCAAACACAGCTACTGCTTTCTCAACATAGTTGTCAGTTTTAGGATCCAATCCAAATGCCTAGAAGAGAATGTAACAGCAATTCAAGTTAGTCAATCTTAACACACTTTCGGGGGGAAAAATACACTAGTTGGACTGGATCCTCTGAAGGACTGAGTGTCTACTACCACCAGTGGCTTTAATGGGTCCTAAGTTATTACTCAAACCTAAATCTTTTAAGTTAGGCCATCAATAGTTGGGCTGATGTATTGAAATAGTACAATTTACAGACCTAGTATAGAAGTCATTCTCGAAAGTCTCTCCATTTATTTCAGTAGGCTTTGTTCCCAGTAAGCAATATTTACTGTCCTAGAACCATTACATATTTGGCAACTATTGGTTTTGTTTTGGAAGCTTCATGCATAGAAAATAAATCCTCCCCTTCCAAACAGTAATTTAGGTCATGATAGTCATAGGTTAAAATGAAATGATGACAAGTCACTTTAATTACTAGATGGTAAAATCTAGTTGGCAAGAACAAAAATCCCAAATACAGTCCAAATGTGTGGAAAATTATATATAGATGTGTCTGTTTCATAACCTCTTTCCACAACAGGTAATTTAAATATATTTCTCTACATGTGCAATTTTGACAGTGGTTTGCCAATATTTGATCTAAGTTTAGTCTCTTGACCCATGGTAGTATTTGAGGAAGAAACAGGTATTTCCCTGACAACTAAAATCCCCACTAAACCTGAGCTAGGAAGAAACTTCTGTTATTTTAATGGGCGAGAGGGAAGGGCACAAGTCTGCTTGCATGAGGACTTGTCAGGATACAGACTTGAAGAGGAATTTTACCTGTGTAAGGACAGAGTAAGCAGAATTTGGCTATAAGAGCCTAATTTAACCCTCAAAGATGCATGTGCAACTCTCATTGCCACCAGTAGTAATAGCATGCATTCTGAGGACCAAATTCAGTTATAACACTTTAGCTTGCCAAAAGTATCTGAAGTAAATGCAATAAAGTAAAAATTGCCATGCTGACTTTAATGCCTAAATTACTATTGTCAAAAATCAAATCAAGTGCCCAGGAAAATAAGGAGTGAAACTCAGACTTTGGGCCTAAGTGCATATGAACTTTTCCATGTGCCCGATTTAGATGCACAAAATTTACTGTGCTGGCATATGCACTTAGATATCTAAACCAGGCAAACACAAAAGTATCTGTACTGTCAGCAAAATACCTACTGGAAAATTTAGGTCCCATATTTTAAAAACCCAATGGTTGACCCTGCATTTTTTAAACTATTATATAAAATCCCCTGATGCAGATTAACTTTCCACTAATATTTATTCAATGAACTGAAATAAGAACTGCAAGCACTTTGATAAGTGACAGTAAAAGCTGCCTGTTTTCCTGGGGGATACCTATTGGGTCTGAGCCTGCAAACGCTTACCAACTTGAGTAGACCCATTACTGTCTGTGGGACTGATTGCATTAACAACAGTTTGTAAGACAAGATTCCATTATTGTTACTTCTTGCAACAATATTACTACACCGTGAACTACAACAGACATTCCTAAGCCTTCTACCAATATAGCCACAATACAATACAGAACCTGGAACAAATTGATCGCTGTTGTAATTTTGTTAACTTCAGAATTACAGAAAGTATAACTTTGGTCTAATGTATTTCCCCCTTTCTCCAGTGATGGAAGCATAGTATAGTACAATGGTCCTCAATCTCTTCCAGGACATGTCCTCATGTTACAATAAAGTAGGGGCATTCCCCATCCATCTAGCCGTGAAGACAGATGGTAGTCAGGCCCCCCTGAAATGTGTTCACAATTCCCCTAGGGGTCGCGACCCAAATGTTGAGGACCCATGCTATAGTGCACTTCAAAAATTACAAACACTTTGGAAATGGGTAAGTGCCAAGCCAGAGAATGAATACCCTTCCTTACCTCTGGAATTAGCTGGAAAATAGCATTGGAAAAGAGGGTCCCAATGGCCAAGCCCACAAAATAGGTTAAAATCTTGGGGAAATATGGCTTCTTCAAGAGAGGAGTTAAAACAAATCCAAGGAGTGATGCCAGGTTAATGATACTCACGGAAAGGAACCCAAACCCCCAAACTGTGAATGAGAGCACATCAGAAATATCAAGTTTTTTAATATCATATACAATGTATTTTTAACAGATGAATTGACATGAGTATAAAAAAAAACGTTCACAAATCATTTTTGACCTGCAGTTGATGTTAGAACTTACAAGTAGAGAAATCAAAAAAATGCATCTGATGAAATGAGCTGTAGCTCATGAAAACTTATGCTCAGATAAATTTGTTAGTCTCTAAGGTGCCACAAGTCCTCCTGTTCTTTTTGAAAAAGTACAGTGTAACTTTAAAGGAGCTGACCTGAACCCTCAAAAACAAGAAAACCAAAACGCTGGAACTGATTAGTTCCTGTCTGGAACCAGTCACATCAAGGATTGAAAACACACTGGGGTCTGAAGTCCAGGATTCGGTGGGTCAGATTGTCAGCTGATACAAATCAGCTTACTCTGAAGTAAACAGAGAATCTAGCCCTGCTATATTTAATCTGGGACTAATGCTTTAAAAGCTAAACCAGAGGCCAGTATAGTCATGACATAAGAATAAGACTATCTTGTTAGCCACTATGGCTACATTTGAATATAATTTGCCATTGGAGAGCTGAGAAGCAGCCAGAACACTTGTAGTTCCCTTCCTCACAGATCTCTAGCGTTGGAGGGCTGCACCGCTTGACTCTTTTTATCCCCTAATCCTTTCCCTTTGAAGGAAAGATTTGTGAAATCCCCAGTAGTGGCTCCCTTCCCTCCCTTGCAGCTCCCTTCTTCCCTTGACTCTCCCAAGTACCTCTATGGGGGGGGATACAGTAAGCTTCTCTAAAATGGCTTCTGCCTGTCAAGTCCTACCTGGAAGTGGTATCTAAATATCTCAGAATGGAGCAAATGTATGAACATTTGTATCTCTCTCTCCTACCCACCACAGACAGAGAATGGAACAGGACCATGAGGGAGAGTGGGCTAGACAATTTTTTTTTTTTAATTTCTTGTGAGTAACCATGTCTCTGTGTTAGATGCCATTCTCTGTGGACATCCAATGTTGTAATGATGAAATAAATCAAGGAAGGTGCAGATTCTCAGCTGGGGTAAATCAGTATTATTTGTTTAAATTAACGAGCTATGCTAATTTACACCATCTTGGGAATCTGGCCCTGAAAATATTAAATATTTATAATTTACAAAAATAATCTTGTGCTAAGTCCTTGTATAATGGGAGCAAGTTTCAGTGAACAGCATATTTGCACAGAGAAGGTTTAAACTACTCCTAAAATAGGTTTAATCAAATACTAACATCTTGTCTGTGTGTGAAGCACTTTGGCCCTATAAACCCATGCCATAAGAATACACCCACACAAGGGAAATTTACATGGAAAACACCGTGTGGTTCATGGTGTGAAGCTTTCAATGCATTATTCCCTCCTGAAAGGCAATTTGACTTACAGAATGGAAGAAATCTGTGAATCTCTGAGGAATTCATGCAGAGAGCCAGCCCGTTTCTTTTCCTCTACAACAGCACAGGACACTTATGGCCATGAGCTAACACCCCTGAGCAACAGGAGATAGTACCTCATTTAGCGGCTGTCTCCACAGTATGAGTCTCTGGCCTGATGCCAGTCCTGAAACCCACTGAGGTCTCTAACATGCAGTGTTTGTGTGGAGAGGCATCTGTGCATTCAGAAAGGGTGAGATATTTTCAGGTGGACTCCGCTCCCTCCCATCAGCTATTTTGTGGGAAGGGATTTTTCTGGCAGAGATTCTGCTTCTCTGACACCCTCAGTGCTATGTAGCTGAATGCTAATGGGGCTCTCCAAGCAGAAGTGCAACAACTCACATGAAAATGAATAGGTGAAAAGCCAGACAAATCTCAGACTTTCTGTATCAGTGAGAAAATGGCACTAGCAGGTGGAAAAGAAGATGGATCATTAGTGACAGACAGAGAGAGAGAACTTCAAATAGTTCAGAAAGTAGGACTAGACTCCTGAATAATGCAAAAATTGTGTATGAGTCAAATGAGAAGAGCCTCTTCTTTTAAAGAGAGATAAGGGTAGAATCAGGCTTGGAAAAGCTCGGTCCCATGCACCATGAGCATAATTTCAGGTGACAAAATGCAATGCCATGAATGTTCCAGAATCTGTAGATTTTGTTATAAGCAATGTGAAATTGTCAAGATTGAGGTTTATTGTCCAGGAGTATCAAAAAGTTTTGCCTGTACACCAACTTGCCTCTTACCTCACCTTTAAAGAAATTCTGTGGTATAACCACAATCAGTTTTCCATACAAACTTCTAATTCTACCGTAAAATCATCCACAAACAATAATCACAGTCAACATTATGTTGGAACATATGAGAGCAGCAGGATAATCCAGAAAACTGTACAGTATAAAAGTTGCTTTAAGCTCCTCTTTGCACTGCTGGAGTGGTGCAAAGATGACTTAGCATAGGCCAAGGGTCAGCAACCTTTGGCACGCAGCCCATCAGGGTAATCCACTGGGACATACTGGCCGCCGCTTCCCACAGCTCCCATTGGCCGGGAACAGTGAACCACAGCCACTGGGAGCTTTAGGGGGCCGTGCCTGCGGACGGTCAACGTAAACAAAATGTCTCGCAGCCCGCCAGCAGATTACTCTGAGAGGCCGTGTGCCCAAGGTTGCCTGATTTTTTTCTCTTACATGACAACAAACATACGGAGTAGGGCTGTCAAACTATCAAATAAATTTATCGCAATTAATCACAGTTTAAATTGCACCATTAAACAATAACTGAAAACCGATTTAAATTTATTATAAATATTTTGGGTGTTTTTCTACATTTTCAAATATACTGATTTCAATTACAATACAGAATAAAAAATGTACAGTGCTCCCTTTATATTATTTTTTATTACAAATATTTGCACTGTAAAAAAGATAGTCCAATCTACAAGTCAAAGCATGAAAGGGCATACGAACGTTGAGCATATGTGACACGTAAATACCTTGCAGTGCTGGCTACAACAGTGCCATGTGAACACCTGTTCTCACTTTCAGGTGACATTGCAAATAAAAAGTGGGCAGCATTATCTCCCATAAATGTAAACAAACTTGTTTGTCTTAGCGATTGGCTGAACAAGAAGTAGGACTGAGTGGACGTGCAGGCTCTGAAGTTTTACATTGTTTTGGTTTTGAGTACAACTATGTAAAAAAAAATTCTACATTTGTAAGTTGCACTTTCACAATAAAAAGATTGTACTACTGTACTTGTATGAAGTGAATTGAAAAATACTATTTCTTTTATCTTTTTTACAGTGCAAATATTTGTAATCAAAAGTAATAATATAAAGTGAGCAGTGTACACTTTGTATTCTGTTTTGTAATTTAAATCAATTTTTGAAAATGTAGAGAAACATCCAAAATATTTATAATAAATTTAAATCGGGATTCTATTAACAGTGCAATTAAAACTGTGATTAATCGCAATTAATATTTTGAATTGATTTAATTTGTTTTGAGTTAATCGCTTGAGTTAACTGTGATTAATGGTCAGTCCTAATACAGAGCCAAATCCCTCACTGCAATAGAGTTGCACCAGGCTGAATTTAGTTTACTTTGCCTGGTGGTGTCAGTGTCCGGATTTTCATATGGAAAGGAATGTACATGATGTTATGAGAGGAAAGTGAAACCTTGTGCAAACAATTTAAAAGCCTAAATCAATATTAACAAAAGCTTTGATTTTTATCTATACTAAAAATAAACAAAAACATTTGGGTTCTGTAGTTACAACAATCCGTACAACTTTTGCTTTTACCATTTAGAATCATCATAAAACTGTGCCTTTTAATTTTGTATATTGTCTACTCCTCTTTATTATCCTGTGCACTGCAAATATTTTAAAGCAGATTTTAAAAAAATTAATTAAAACCTATTTTCAGATCTCAAAGAAACTGGGTCACGAACACTAAAACTGGATACAATCAAGATACATTAAATTAGGACAAGCATTTTAAAATTATGATTGTTTTTAATTTAATACTATCCATTTTGACAGCAAAAAACAGGATACATGTTAATATCTACAGATCAATGTAGAAAGACAGCAGAAAAACTGAGGTCAGAAAATATGGTAAGAAAATTAGGTTAATGCCAGATTGCTAGAAATGTGCTGACTGTGGAAGATTCTCTAGTAAGAATGATTACGCATTCATAATAGCACTTGCACTCTCTCAGAATAACAGAATATATTGGTGTATACAATGTCGTTGTTAAAAGAAAAGGAGTACTTGTGGCACCTTAGAGACTAACAAATTTATTTGAGCATAAGCTTTCGTGAGCTACAGCTCACTTCGTCGGATGCATTCAGTGGAAAATACAGTGGGGAGATTTATATACATAGAGAACATGAAACAATGGGTGTTACCATACACACTGTACCAAGAGTGATTACTTAAGGTGAGCTATTACCAGCAGGAGAGCAGGGGTGGGGGTGGGGAGGGAAAACCTTTTGTAGTGATAATCAAGGTGGGCCATTTCCAGCAGTTGACAAGAATGTCTGAGGAACAGTGGGGGTGGGGGGTGGGGAATAAACATGGGGAAATAGTTTTACTTTGTGTAATGACCCATCCACTCCCAGTCTCTATTCAAGCCTAAATTAATTGTATCCAGTTTGCAAATTAATTCCAATTCAGCAGTCTCTTGCTGGAGTCTGTTTTTGAAGTTTTTTTGTTGAAGAATTGCAACTTTTAGGTCTGTAATCGGCCAAAGAGATTGAAGTGTTCTCCAGCTGGTTTTTGAATGTTATAATTCTTGACGTCTGATTTGTGTCCATTTATTCTTTTACGTAGCGACTGTCCAGTTTGACCAACGTACATCGCAGAGGGGCATTGCTGGCACATGATGGCATATATCACAGTTGGAGAACACTTCACTCTCTTTGGTCACTCGATTACAGACCTGAAAGTGGCAATTCTTCAACAAAAAAACTTCAAAAACAGACTCCAACGAGAGACTGCTGAATTGGAATTAATTTGCAAACTGGATACAATTAACTTAGGCT